GCAGCCTCCATATCAAAAAGGCTCTGGTTTTGCTCTCTGCTTCCCAGCTATGTAGCAGATGAGACCAGATCAGCCTTCTAGTCAGGTTCATTAATTATGAGGGAAATAACCAGGATGAGAAATGGTTACATTTGACTGTGCAAATTTGCCTTCTGACCATAAGACACCAAGCCGGGCCCGGCCATACATGGGTTTTGGCAGAGACACAGACACTATGGATTGATGCCCTCCTCAATAGAACCAGAAAGACTCAAATATTACAAAATATATTCTGGATCCCATGGGCAGTAACATGTATGAGTAGCCATGAGAAAGTACGGTTATCTGAAGCAGTGAAGTTCAACCTATGAGAGACAGTAGGAACCAGAGATACACATGCAGCCCAAAGAAATATCTCCTCTTTAGTACAGAGCCTGATCCCTATCTACCTCATCTATTGCTATAAATTAGAGACAGCTGCATTAGTTGGAGTTATACTCCATGTAAAGTACTCAGAAAAAAAAGCTTTTTAAGTTCAAAGGTGAGAAGTTTCAGCAATACCAGTAACAGAAATAATAATCCTAGAGAAATTGGCTGGAACATCAAAACCATTATTTGCTATTACTTGTTGCTCTCATTAGAAAGGAGAATCATACTGGGAAAAGCTCCAGTTTCTCTCCATATTGAAAAACTCCAATTTTCAGTTGCTTTAGTACTGTGAACAGGAGATAGGGATGTAAAACATGCTGTTCTGTTTTGACTGCACAATTCACCTTATAAGCCTGGAGAACCAGTAATATCTCTATCCACTCCTTTGTAAAATGCATATTACAGGGAGAAGATGAGGCTTAAACAGTGCTCCTAATTAAAATAATCCTGAATTTTGTGTTGGAAATTTACTGCTGTGTTAGGTGCATCTACTGAAGGAGAAATATTTTTTCTTTTCCTCAGGGGGAAACAGTACCATTTTTTCTATAAAATAGCATTAAAGGAAAAATATGTTGTCTTTAAAACAATTTTTAAGACATTTTTAAAAGTGAAAAATATTGTTTTCATCAACATTTCTTATATGAAAAACCTCATAATTTCTAATCCACTTTTCTTGTAATATGCTTCAGAATTTTAAGTTAAAAAGTGCTGTATAAAACAATATATTAATAGCATGGTAAGAAGGTATACATTGTGAAACCCCATGAATTTCAAAAGAGATAGGAGATGTTTTTAGCTGAACTCTTCTAAAGTAATATTTCAATCAGTGCAATCTGAAAAGTGGATCATTCCATAATATCTATTGATAATCATTCTGTATTAGCTAATGAAACATTTGCTCTCTTCTATATTATGGAAGCAAATACCAATATCTGATTTTTGTTTGCTACTCTGTGATCACTAGAAATTATTTTGTTATACAGCTTACATATTTTTGTATTTGGGGCATTTTTTTACCATTTAAAAGCCTATAACTTCATACCATTTGGAAAATGGGGTAACATAGGATCTGTGAAGTGAAACTCACAAGAAAAAGTCAAGCTGGTGAGAAATCACAAAAAGGAGAAGCCTATTCTTTAACTGAAACCAGTCACTCTGAATGAATCAGGCAAATTTCACAGACAAAAAAAATTAATAATGCTTGCTCTCTTAATTTTGAAAATATGTTTTTCCTTTGAAATCTCACTGGCAAAATTCAGGCATCTTCCCAATGTAATTTTAGAATTTACTACTTCTGAAGCTATGGTCACAAGAGAATTAAACACAACAAAAGTAGCATATGACAAAAGAATTGCATGTGCTTTTAGTATAGAAACTGTGGAAAGAAACTCCAGGCCAGTGTTTGGATATGAAGAAGGAAGTGTTATTTCACAGCAGTATTTGAGATCTGTTTTGTCGTGCATATGCATTCAAAACCAAAGCTCCATGCGTTTGCTTTCTGGATAGTAGGACATTTCATTTCCCTTTTAGCAGAAGGGATCACAGATCAAAGGAAAGCAGCCAGGTGGGTCAGAGGGAAACACCAGCATTCCCTGACCCCATTACTTGTTTACAGATAAACACCAGACAGCTGTAAAAGTGGCAATATGTTTTCACAAGAGCAAGAAGGAAATAGAATTGAATAAATTGAAAGAAACAAAAGTATGTCTAAATTTGAAAGTCTTGAGTTTCTTCAATAATGTTGCTATAGTGATTTAGAATACGTTCAATATTATATCTCTATCATTTATTTGTATTGTCTCATTTATTAAATTCTGATTAAAGAAGTTTTACTCTACAGAAGGTCTAAAGAAACCAGAAAGTCATCTCTATGTAGTTTGTAGTGACTTTTCTGTGAGGGTCTGCAGCAGACCAAACTACCAGGTCACCTCATACAACATGGAGAGTAATGACATTTGCACACTGGGGAGTTAGATAACCCACACTGAAAGGCCCTGACTGCAAATTCCACATCAAAATTACATTAAACTCCTAAAATATGCTGAGTGAGGTTCAGTTTCTTAGTTTGTTCCTCCTTCATGTTTCATGTGGTATATTTCTCAAACAGGGAACCTGCTCATTCTTTCTGTTTACCAGTATCTGCCTGATAAAGTAGAACTGAAAACACTGTGTTGTGCTGGAACGTGAAGTTCAGAGTTCAAAACAATTGCTTGCTACAAAAATAAAGGAAGGCCTCTCCTATGAAATCTATGAACTCAAAGCAGGGATACAGAACTAGTCGTTGCCAATAACTTTAACTTCATTTATCTATATTTGGCAAAAATTGTGCTGCAGCTGGAGATGAAATGCTGAGCTAAATAACTGCAGCGATGTGAGTTCCAAAACAGCAATTACTAAGCTGTGCTGCCTTGTGTAAGATTTTACTTTTATTTATTGTATTTAAAGAAACTCTGTATCTATGTACAGTACAACAAGAACTGCCTGATCAAATAATGCCTGATTGCAAGGCATCTCAGATCCACTGTCAATATAACTCAGTGTTTAGCAAGAACATGTTTTACATGAAGCCAGACTACAATGCTGTGCATGGCAGTTTTATAGTTCTACATACCTTTTTATTGTCTCTAATTGCAAGGAGTAACTCATATTAAACCTAAATTTGGCTTATCACAAATGATGAATACATTTTTTTCTTAGTGTTAGAAAAGCTAATAGTTTTAAAAGGATGAAAGAAAGGTGCACACAATCTCTTTCTTCATGGAAACAAGAACAAACCCACATTAATAATGTCATTGGAGGAACTGCTTGCCAATACTATTTCTATCATCTTTTTTTAAAAGAGAACAAGAAAGCTGGGGGCATATTCTAGGCAGATGTTTTTGTTCTCAAAAGAGAAGCCCAAGTAGCTGTAATAATGGGTGTTCTGTGGTTCTAACTCCACATATGTGTCTACTATCACAGTGCAGCCTCACAGTGGCCTCTCTCTAAAGCACTTCATCTAGGGACATGTTGACATTTCAGAGAAAGAAAAGGAGAAAATGAAGTGACATATGAGTATTCCTCTAGTTGTCCAAGAAAATGGATGCTGACACCATAAATCTAACTCCTTCCCAAAAAGTAATGTGACTGAAATAATATCACAATGCCAGAAAAGCTGACTAATTGTCTGGATTCCAAAACTGACATAATTTTTCCAAGATGACATAGTATTATTAGTAGTATCCAGTCCCTCAAACAGTGAGTTTTGTCCTCGTTGACCACATTTTTAACTCCCTTTCTCTTTACTCCCACAGACAGAAATTCTGATACAGAGTCCCCCCTGCTTTCAATTTCTTGGTCATTCATGAGATTTTTAACCCTAAACAATACAAAATCTTTCACTATCAGTCATATTCTAGATTCAGTCAACAACATTTCTTTGGGACAAACCGCCTTTCAGCAGATGGTTCCCAAACATTTAGGGCCAATGGATAATTGCTGCCCTTCAAATTAATCAAAATTACCCTGCACTCTTATAATTTACTTGAAGGTAATAGAAAAATTCTTAATATATTTGCAGATTTCATTTGCAGATTATTTCCCATGTTTCCATTGACTGACCATGAGTCACTGGCGAATACAAATCAACTGATCTCTTAGAACTGGTGACATTTCTTCCTCATCATCTGCATCCTAGAAGCATCTAAGCCAGAGAAGGTAGCCACATGAGTTATAGTAGGTCATATTGCTTAATTTGTTGCTAACTTCATCAATGTTAGATTTTTCTGTGTTTAGGGAGAACCAAGTTGGATGTTTATACGTCCTGGAATTATTCTATATTTATTTCAACATGCTGGTAAAGGCAAGAGACGGAGATTAGCCTCTTGCCACCTCCTCTGAAATTTTAGGCCCGCCTTGTTTCATTGAATAAATGAAACCTTAGTCCAGCACTATACAGAGAGATACATCTTTTGCTCTGATTTTGTTAACTCCAGTAGATGTTGGAGTAGATCTCCATTAAATTGCTTCATTACTGAATAGAAAGGAAATCAAAGCAAGGCAAAACAAGCCAAGGAAAGGGATGGGAGTCCAGTATGGATCTTCAGAATTTTTGATGGAATTCATTTACCTTTCATTAGTGGGTATAGTTTGTCAAAGCTTGACTTCTCTCTTTGTTTATCCATACAACATGTTACTCTTTCAGTTCCATGGATGTAATGTAGATATATTTCAGTGTTAACCTACAACTGCATGACCACCAAAGTCATCTATAGCTGTTTTCAAAGTACTTGTCAGTATAGGAGACTTTTCAGAATGGAAATGAGGCACTGATGAGTATATGCATCTAGCAGCCATTTGCATCCCTAGATCAGCTCTGCTGAATTGACTGAGAAACTAATTCCAAATCCCTCTAACCTGATATTCCAGCTTGAGCAGGTCAGTGATTTGCTGCTCTTCACAGCCAGGTCCTTGTACCTCGAAGGACATGAAAACCACATTGTAGTTTACTCTTCCTTTGCAGAGTCACTAAGAGATGGCAGAGTTAAACATTTCAACAGCTATTTTAAATTCAGTAAACCAAATGAGCCAAAGCATTCCAACATCAGTGCTAATGCTTTTAAAATGCAGTTTGTTTTTTATTTTTACATCAGAAAGCTCATACTTACATGGACATCCTGCTAAAAGAGAGAGACTGCACACATATTTCCAGGGTAATCTAACTTGTACCAGAGGCTGCCAGGGATTAAATGACTGGATGTTAAGGATGTTGACACTGATATATGGCTCTCTGCTCCTACTTTAACATCTTACAGCCATCACACATGTTCAGTGTTGTTTGGGCTGTGGTGTTTCAACATAACATGAAGCAGGAACTACAGCAACATATAATTTACAATAGAGAGTCTACATTTTACTTTCACATATAAAACACATAGAGAATTCTTCCTTTTAAAGTAAAGTTTCCTTGCTCATTCATCACACACCACTAATCACCACCACTTAGGCGTCTTAAAGAAAATGATGTACCATGTATCAGAAAAACTGACAGGGCAAACGACTGAAATTGAACACATCTGTACAAATTGTGAAGAAACTGCAGGACTCTTAAACAAACAATAATAATGGCAGTCACATAGTCACATTTCTTTTCTAAAAATGGAATCATTGCCCTGCCATTTACAACAGTTTATGCACGTCCACAATTCTTCAAACTATGCTTCTTGAGTTGTTCAAGACCTAGATTGTGGTTCAAGACCTAGATTCTTGTGATCTGTCTCTTTGGAAAGATCAACAACGAGACAAGAGCATAACAAAATAACATCCTGGCTAACTCTTTGTGTTCAGCAGGATAATAGCACTAAGGAATCTACTCTTTGTGAACAAGGTTACATTCTGCTTCAGAAAGATCTCCATGCACATGGATGTCTGATTGCACTTACTCTTTGCACTGAGCTTACTCTCCATTATCTAATTCACTGCCCTGAAGCAAATTAGATAATTATCTTCTGTTCTATTCTTAGCTATTAAATAGGAAAGACTATAGTGCTGAAACTTGTGTTAATGTATATATCACCTTGATAATGGGATCATTTGGTATCTTCTTCAAGCTGATGATATGCATAGGCTGTTCTGTGTCCTCTACAGAGTTTTCCTCCTCTGGGCTACAGTGTCCTGAGTTCTCTGCAGCAGACCAGACATAAAGTTTATGTCACCTCCACAACCACTCAGATAGACACACAAGAAAATTATTTCTTCTAAAACAAGGAGCTTCTTCTGGAGCAGAAAGCCTTTCAGCTGAAATTCACATGGTAAGATATAGGCTGCTCACAGATTTTCCCACTCCTGCCTCAAGTAGACATTGTGGTTTGCCCTTCTAGAGACATGCATTCTCATTCACATGAGGTGCTGACATTTTCATAAGATAGCTGCAGTGCAGGTAAATTACTGTCAAAGCCATAAGGCAATTCCCATTTCCACACTTTTCTAATCTGTCTCTGCCTCACTTCAGCTCCTTATGCTGATTTGAGACAGTAATTCTTTCATTTTTAATTCCAGCTGAGGGCCAGGCTCGCCAGCCTCTTAGCTTATGGTGCATCACCTATGTGAAGCTCATGGGTTTTTTTTGTTTATACCACAGAACTCACTTTTACCTGTTAAAAGAATAACTTGGCTCCATACATGGGAACATCCTGCATATTTCAACCAAGCACAGCATTGCTGTCATTCTGGCCTGACTGTTGCCAGTGACCATTCAGATACCAGGCAGTGATAAACCTCATATCGAAGCTAAAGGATCTTTTACAAGGAAGTGCACTATTGTTAGCTTGTAACCTGCAATCATCTAAAAGGACCAGCAAAATCATATTGCACATCGTGGCTTCTGGTTTCAGCAAGGAAATACCTGAGTAGTTCATATTACTTGATAGCAAACATTTTCTGAAGAGAAACTATTGTCCTAACTTTTCTAAATAAGGAAAAATAAAATACATGAAAAACAATTTATGAGGGTCACTAGACTCAAGGCTCTCCAGTTCTTTTGTTGGTTGGCCTGTTGGGATTTTTTGCTTGTTATGGAGGTATTTTCTTTCATTATAGAGAGTGCAATATTGTTAATAACAAAGGATATACTGTTGATCGTTGATCGTAGATCTGTCCTGAATATCATTTAACTAACTTTCGCTATAAGGTCAGAAATAACAGTTACGCTGTTATTAAATCCACATTCTAGCACAAATACTTTGCTAGCACTTTTCTTCATATGGCAGGCAGGAGCTGAGGGGAGGCAATAGTGAGGGACAATCAGTGGAGTCTCATGCATCCTAAAACATTGCAAATAACTTAGTTTGTAATTTTCATCTGCCACACTGAACTGTTTCCCCCTAAATTCCCAAGAGCAGCCAGGTGAATCAGGAATGTATAAGAATGAAGATTAAACATATTTCCTTTCCTACACTTGCACTCAGATGAGGGGGAAGGGCTCCAAAAAACAGTTGTTTAAACTGCTTTTCTTTGAGAAAAAATTTAAAAATTGAGATGGTGCCTTTTAATTTGCTAATTAACAACTTTTACTGTGGAGAATACTGCCAAAATGGCTGAGATTATTTGATAAAGATTCATTAGAGAAGAAGAAAAATAGAAATTAAAGGAAAGAAGATCTTAGATAATTCAGAATGTTCCAATGAAGCCAACAGAGCCAAGGATGCAATTTAGGGTACATAGTTTCCAAATTTTTGTTTCCTGTATTTTCACATACTGCCTACTAAAGCAGCCATTACGAGCAACTCGATAGGTGCTGTGGGCTGATTATGTGACAAATCAGGATCAGGTGAAATAACACACAGCATTTGCCAAGAAGTATAATTTCAGGAATCCTGAAATTATTTCTGGATTTACACTGAATAAGTGCAATTAGGGTTTGAGAGCTAGATGCTGATAATGTTGCTAACTATCACTCTCTTTACTTACTCTATTCCAATTATTACAGCCCGACCCAGACACGAGACTGGTTCCATTCTGTCCTTCACTAAACACAATTTTAACCCAAACCACTTTTCTCCAAAAAGAATGCCCAAAGACATTGAACTAGGCATTTAGATTATTCAGACACTCGCTACTGTCATTTTAATATTCCTTGAGTTGACAAGAAAATAGGCCAGTAGCCTAGTGGCTGCTGAGCCTGTAGACTACCTTAGCCTCAGGCACTGTTCTGAACCACTCATAACATGATCTGAATATTATGTTAAAATCTTCCCTTTTTTCAAGTGAGTGCCTTAACAAGAGAATGCAAATCAATCTAAACACTAACCTCCTCAATCTGTTTCTGTTGATGTCTCACATTTATTGGTTATTTATGAATCCAGTGAGTAAATCACAGTTTAGCTCAGTGGTCAGGGCATTCTCTAAGAAACATGAAAGTGGCTTTTCATCCTCTTCCACTGATAGTCATTAATGCAATTAAAACAGCAATGACTTAAGAGCATTTTTACCAGGACATCTTAACCAGATGGCTCACATTTTCTACTATTAGTAAGACACCAGGATTCAGTCTTCACTAGGAGAAGAGGGAATGTCCTCCACACTGAATAAATAAATGACCAGTACTTAAACAGACTAAGCATGGAGGAAGAAGAGGGGTAAAAAGGAGATAATAATGGAAAATGACCCTGTCTCAAATAGACAGTAAGTTAAAAGTGGAATTAAAATTCAACCTCCTGTCAGATGAAGACAGGCTCAGTTACTACAAAGCCTTGCCTGCCCTCACTTCCTTTGCTGCTAGTTTTCCTATTTTGTCAGACCCGTTCATCAAACCACTTCATATCACCTGGCTTTAGAGCCCAAATATGCATTGACAAGTTGTCCCTAAGCTCCATTTCTGGAGACATTTCTTCCTCTTAATCTGGAATAAATTCTAAGATAGCTGAGGTGAAACATCCCTCCAGATTGCAGTGCTTGACTAAAAGAGTGGCCTATAGTGGTGAAACTGAATGAGGATGACTTCTTTTCAGATGCCTGAACTACACAAGAGAAACCTCTATAATCCAGCTGCCCTGTCCACGTACAACACCTGTTTAGCCTACAGAGATACCATGATAGTTACTGCATGTTTCAAAATCTTCAGAAAAGGTATCAAGTATGCACTATTTTCAGCACTTTGCATTCAGATTCAAATTCATTTATAGATTGCTATTACTCTTCAGTTCTTAAGAAACCCATCCTAAATTTTTACAGAAGTGTCAGTTAGCAAACACTAAGTTCCAACAACACAGTAACCATCCTTAATAGCTGGCTTTTTAATGGCATCCAAGACAAAGAATAGAAAATGTTTCAGGGATGCTGATGAAAGAGATGTGCCATCTCTTCATGAATAAAAGAAAGTGAAAAGCACTCCACAACTGAGCATACTCACCAGCTGGAAGAGATGGAGAGGCAGCAGGTAGGTGCAAATAAAAGCCATTTTGGGGCTCTAGCTGGTTTTCTCTGTATTCCAAAGGACAAAGAGCAGAAGAGCTTTCTGTGAAAAGAAATGAATTCAGATTTAGTCCAGAACTGACTAGTCAATTTAAAGGGACCAGAATCCAAACTCACTCATTTTTAAGGATTAGGCCCATCACACACACACTGTTTTTCAATATTGTTCTCTGCAATAAAAATTGAGATTGTTTTCTGAACAGGATGCCAGCTGCTTCCTGTTCATGCTACTAATACATAACACTGCCATTGTATCACATCAAGGGATCCTCACTCTGATCACCAGCCAGCAGAACAAATGCACTATATTGAGTAAATCCTCATAAAACGCTACAGAATCAATTGGTGTAATTCAGCCTAGTCACACTGACTTCAGCAACATTTTACTCCTGCTTAGGACCTAATCTGATTTGTAATTTATCTTTCATGTGATTAACTAATTGCTGTACACTTATAAATAGGAAATCCAATTTTATAGGTTATGCACGGATCACATAGTTAGTCACACTTACATATTATGAACTCAGGTGCATTTGCAATGAAAAGAAGAAACCTTCCTGTGGCATGAGTTGTCTTGCTCTCCCTTGCCATAAAGAAGCAATCTCTGACCTTCTGCAGCTCTTACTGTGAACCTTCCCTTCCCTCCCAAGAGGTGATCTTCCCCAAGAAGCCACGGCCCCATTCCATGTAACTCAAAACTGCTGTTACCATGGTTAATATTTCTGACTTGATTGGCACCACTAGTAATTGAACTGCAGTCTCTTGAGCACAGCAAGCTCTATTCATTAGCCCCTATTGTGTTAGGACACTGCATCAACCCACATTATTTTTCTGTGTAAAAGGGAAAAATCAGCCATGAATACAAAGTTGTGTTGCCATACAAAATTTTGCAGTTTTGCTGTTGGATTAATTTTATGAGATTAAATAAAATATTTAAATTTTATTTATGTCTATTATGGTACAATATGGGAAAAGGCACCTTCATTTTGACTGCTTAATATTATGTACATCTAAAACCCAAAATAGTTTAGTACCAGCTTTATGAGGAGACTTTTGGTTTCATCACAAATTAACAAAACCTTTGCAGTCTTCTGTCTCTTTTTCTCCCTTTTTCTCCCTTCTCTTAATATAGAGTTACACTTTATATGAATTTTTTGATTTGAGTCAATATGTGATGGAATGCTATATAAGTAATGAAAAGAACAACATACCAGAAGCTTTCCTTCCGGTAAGAAAACAAGACAGATAAGTTTTAAAATTCAACTTTCAACTGCCTATTCAGACAAAGACATTTTGTATTTTATATATTTTAGTAGTTTTTATAGATGACACTATTGTATATGTAAAGGAATCAGACCAGTTAGAAATTACTTAATAAACTCTGTCAAATTGGAGCTGACATTTTAATAGAAGCAGAAAAAATATGAGAAATATTTCATATTCTGATCCCATAAACACTTCAGTAAATTAATAGCCTCCAACATCAAGGAGATGGCCATACCAGCAAGTTGTTCCAGAGTAGTCCTTCTGTTCATACTGCTGCATTTTTAGTGTAATAATTACCCTCTTGGTTTCATCTTTGCAAAAGTTTTCATATTTTGTCTGTTTTATCTCTTCTTCCTTTTTCCCTTAGACAGGACCATGAGAGATGTCTGAGAAATATTCATAACATAGATTTTTTTTTCCCATGGGGAAGAGGGAAAAAAAGAACACAGTAAGAGAAATAGAGGTGCTAAAGGAAAAATTTTGCTTTACTCCATCAGCCTGCTTTGGCATTGTGAGATGGATCTTGGAAGACTAAACAGCTTGCAGGGCTTCAGAAATGTGAGCTAGGGAAAGGTGAATGCAAGAGAGAGCAAGAGACAATGTCAGATATTGACAGTGGGAAAACTGCTTCTCATCATAGCTTGTCGTTAAGTGGAGTAAGATATTCTTCGCACTCTCAATGCCAAGGTTCTCACCTCTCTAAAATTTACACTCTGTGTTGAAATCCCAGTAATTTATTCCCAATTCCTTCAGTTTCCAGCCTCACCTAAGTCCACTGTATTACGTAGAGGCAAAAAAGTTTACAAGGACAAGTCACACAAAATCACACATGTTCTAGCAGAGACTCACTCATACAACAAAATTGTGCAAAAGGTCAGCACTGAGAGTTGCCTCCCCAGGGATGGATGTTCCTGTCGGTGGCTCTGACTTGTTTCAGCTCTCTCTGAGAGTGTTCAGTGCTTGGAACTTCAGAAAAATCTAGTTGTGTCCCATTTTACACAAATGACTATGGAAGCACACAAAATTGGTGGCACTGTATATTTATATCCTTTTCCATAGTGAAGAGATAATAACACTTATCTCTTCCTTTATCATTGTGAAGCTTACTTTATATTTGCAAGGTACTTGGTTGATAAGACCAGCAGTTGCCAAATAAAATTCATGGCACTGTGAAAATTCCTTATCTGGTGCATGCCTGCTGTTGGGACTACATATGAGGAGCACTAAGAGTGACAAATAGACTGTGAAATGCAGTACTAACTGAACCTGCTTCATTCTGAGTGAGTGATTCTCTGATACCTAATATGCTGGTTGAGCCAACGTAGCAAGGTTCTGAGGACACACACTATTTCCCCCTTTCCCACATCAAGTGTAGATTAGATGGTCCAATAGATTTAAAGTCATTAGAGAGAGTACTGGCCAACAGAAAATAACAAAATACTCATTTCTCAAGGAAAAAGGGTTAAAACTAATTATTGATCATCTGTCTCATTTATCAGTTTCTTCCATACCATTCAATAACCAATGTAGGCACCCTCTGGAAAACCATTATGTGATCAGGTAATAGTTTTCATAGCACACATGCCAATGGATATGTCTGCAGGAACAGTATTGTATTTATTGTATTATAAATTAGTGTTGTGCGATCCACAGATGAAGGCCTGTGGATCTCACAATACTAATGCATTCACACTTCTGATTACCTCATTTCCTAACTGTAAGTTGTTTTAAATGTAATCTTCCATTAATTTGTCTTTGAGTGTGCATAATCTATACAGCTACATGTCTTCTTATATTTATTTTGCATTTTGAGGTTAAACTGGTGGCTTGATGCACCAGCCCACCCTCAGTACCAACAGCCATGTGCTCCCAGAGCATGGGCATACATGCTCCTGTAGCTTTCTGAGTTCTTTCTTTATTTCTCCAGGGCTCTATTAGGAAGAGCATTGCTAGCAGGTAGAAGGGGTGATCCTCCCCTCTGCTCAGCCTGGGTGAGGCCACACCTGGAGTGCTGTGTCCAGTTCTGGGCTTCTCAGTACAGGTGAGACATGGAGCTCCTGAAGCAGATCCAGCAGAGGCTACAAAAATGATTGCTTGACTGGAGCATCTCTCTTATGAGGAAGGGCTGAGGGAGCTGGGCCTATGGACTCGAGAAGAGGTCCACAGTGGACCAGTGGACCTCTTCTGCACAGTGAAGAGGCCAATATCTTCTTCTCATCAATATCTATAGGTATATGAAGAGAGGGTGACAAAAGGATGAAGTCAGGCTCTGCTCAGTGGTGCTGGGCTATAGGACAAGAGGCAATGGGCAGAAACAGATGCACAGGAGGTTCCATTTCAACATGAGGAAGAACTCTGTTGTCTAAGTGACCATGCATTAGAACAGGTTTCCTGGAGGGGTTGTGGAGTCTTCCTCACTGGACATATTCAAGAACTATCCAGACACAATCCTATGCAAAGTGGTCCAGGATGGCCCTGCTAAGCAGGGAGGTTGGGCCAGATGCCCCACTGCGGTCCCTTCCAACCTTACCCAGTCTGTGATTTCTGCTCTTCTTTTCACAGCCTCATCACCATGTGAGATTTGTAGCGCTAAGTAGCCCCACAAATGGTCATTTCTAGCATGGATTAACTATACATCCTTGTGTTTCACAATTTACACAGTCGTCTTCAAGCTCCTGCTGGGACCACTGCAAGCAAATCTCATGTATGAGCAGACTGGTTATTTTCATGTATGAGCAGACTGGTTATTTTCATGCCAGTCAGCTTTCTTTCTTTTTGTTGGCCAACACGCCTGCTACATAAATAATCATGGTTAAGAATAGAGCTAAATTCTATTTCTCTGTTTGACATGCTGAACTAACTGTGAATATTCTCAGCTCAGCTTTTTAGAGCAGTTTGTAAACAGCACAAAAACCAGATGTGACTCAAAGGACACTCATGTAAATATGAAAAGTCATAATTCAAAGTACAATGTTAAGTCTCAGTAATTCACACCAATATGAGCTTTCCACTTTAATGACAACAACCCTGATCTGAAAAGTACTACTGTGTAAATTTGTATAAAATTGAGTACATTACAGGGTCTCAAAATCATAGTCACATTATAATAATAAGACTGGACTTTTCCTGAAGCCCAGTACACACAGACACAGATTTTCTAGAGCTCCTGAGGAATGTAGGTGCATAGGCACTACTGAAGATCAGTGAGATTTCCATGGCTAAATCCCTAAGATATGTTGGATTCAATCCCTTGCAATTAATAATTCAAGTACCATATAAAGCTATTCACTTCTATATTTTCATATAGATAAAACAATAGGCTTCATTTGGACTGATCCTGAATCACACCTGCTTACATACCTTTACAGAGAGCTAATACATGTTGGTTATGTCACCTCAAATGGGAGAGAGAACATCTGAGTCTGGCTATGGCTGTTAATTATCTTTGCTTCTATTCTCTTGGGTTCTTTATCTTCAGTATTTCCCATTTTCAAGATAATTTTTTCATGTGTGTTTTGTTATACACAGTTGTTTTCTTCTTGGCCACACACTTTTTTTTCTGGATCACCAGATGGGATTCAGAAGGTTTTAGTGACTTAGCTGCTTCCTTCTCCAAGTTGTATTTACGATCATGACAAAGCATTTGGGTTAACTCCTTCTTGTTTTCTGATAGAACTGAAGCAAAATTAAATGTGCTTGTTAGTCAGACACTAGGGAAGTTTTTGAAGTTAGAGGTATGTCTGTGTTACCAGAACACTGTCAGGGACAAAGGAGATA